CAGCCTGATTAGCACAAGAAAAAAAAAATCTACCTCTCTGCCTACAAGCAATTTGCCTCCTTGCAGCAAACAGCCTGTTTCAGATTCAGCACAGCCTGATTAGCACAAGAAAAAAAAAATCTACCTCTCTGCCTACCAGCAATTTGCCTCCTTGCAGCAAACAGCCTGTTTCAGATTCAGCACAGCCTGATTAGCACAAGAAAAAAAAAATCTACCTCTCTGCCTACCAGCAATTTGCCTCCTTGCAGCAAATAGCCTGTTTCAGTTTCAGCACAGTCTGATTAGCACAAGCAGCTGTTGGTCGGGCCTCCGTGCTGTTTCAGGCTGCAGAGATTGCCATAGCTTATTGCCGCCTCCGCACACCTCATTTTCAGCCTCCGCATCCCGTTTTCGGGCTCCGCGTGCCCAATTTTCCGCCCGTTCCAGGCGGCGAGGATCAAAATAGGCAGAAAATGGGGTGTGCGGAGGTGGCAATAGGCTATGGCAATCCCTGCAGCCTGAAACAGCTGATAGTCGGAGGCCGATCCAACCGACAATCAGCTGCTTGTGCTAACCAGGCAGCGCTAAAGCTGAAACAGGCTGTTCACTGTTTGCTGCAAGGAGGCAAATTGCTGGGAGGCAGAGGCCAAAGGGTGAGAGCCAGCGGGTGAGCAGGGCTACATTCGGTGAATAAGACACACCCAAATTTTCACTCTCTTTTGGGTGGGGGGAAGTTGGTCTTATACTCTGAAAAATACGGTAGCTCTACCACACCGGGAAATTCTGACAAGGAAAGAAATCTTTCCTTGCCTTTTTAGAGAGAAAAAAAAATGAGAGCAGATTCTGTTCTGAACAGACTGTAAGTTACCGGTTTTGGGAATTCTTGCCGTTCCTCGAACAGAAATCTAACCTGCCCTGATTTGGAAATGCTTTAAATCAAGATTAATGCAGCGAGTCACCTACGAGCCGGTGGAAGGGATGAAAAATAAAAAGAATATATAATCCAGCCTTTGTAAAAATCATACTCGGAGGGATTAAGTCAGGCATTGTCCATGTGGAACAGTGTTTTTCAACTTGGAGGTATGTGGACTTCAACTCCCAGAATTCCCCAACTAGCATAGCTGGGGAATTCTGGGAGTTGAAGTCCACAGGTCTTCAAATTGCCAAAATTGAAAAACACTGGTCCGGAGCAGTGGTGGGTTGCAAACATTTTTACGACTGGTTCGGGCACACTTAATACAATACAATACAATGCAGTAGCAGAGTTGGAAGGGACCTTGGAGGTCTTCTAGTCCAACCTCCCGCCTAGGCAGGAAACCCTACATTGTTTCAGACAAATGGCTATCCAATATCTTCTTAAAGACTTCCAGTGTTGGGGCATTCACAACCTCTGGAGGCAACTTCTGTTCCACTGATTAATTGTTCTCACTGTCAGGAAATTTCTCCTCAGTTCTAAGTTGCTTCTCTCCTTGATTAGTTTCCACCCATTGCTTCTTGTCCTGCCCTCAGGTGCCTTGGAGAATAGCTTGACTCCCTCTTCTTTGGGGCAGCCCCTGAGATATTGGAAGACTGCTATCATGTCTCCCCTATAAAAAAAGATGTGGAGACTCTAGAAAGAGTGCAGAGAAGATCAACCAAGAGGATTAGGGGACTGGAGGCTAAAACATATGAAGAACAGTTGCAGGAACTGGGTAGGTCTAGTTGAATGAAAAGAAAGACTAGGGGAGACAGGATAGCAGTCTTCCAATATCTCAGGGGTTGCCACAAAGAAGAGGGAGTCAAACTATTTTCCATGAATGACAGACGAGGAATAATAATGGATGGAAACTGACCAAGGAGAGATTCAACCTGGTAATAAGGAGGAATTTTCCCACAGTGAGAACAATCAATCGGTAGAACAGAAAGTTGTGGGAGCTTCATCCCTGGAGGCTTTCAAGAAGAGATTGGGCTGCCATCTGTCAGAAATGGCGTAGGGTCTCCTGCTTGAGCAAGGGGGGTTGGACTAGATGACCCACAAGGTCCCTTTCAACTCTGTTAATCTGTTATATCTTCAATTTGCAATCAGGAAACAAATTCCTCTTTCATTCCCATAGAGGCGGCAGAGGATTTCTACAGAAAACAGGGGTGGCTGTTTTTTTTGTTTTGTTTAAAAACAAACAGCCTTCTCATTCACAAATCCAGGCTGATCCGATCTACCGACTAATACCCTTTGGAGTCATCAGTAATCACAAGTGGAAATCAGGATTAAGACGCTGCGGTCTTCCAGAGCCACATTAGGGACACTTGCTGGAGGAACAGATGGCTGAACCTCCCTCGTAGCATCCTCCTGAGTAGGGAGAAGAGGAACCCAATGTGGCTTGTTAGAGACGGCAACTTAGCCCGGGAGTAGGGCTGTCAATCAACCCACGAGCCAATGAGCCAACAGGGGGTTATGCTACTTATAAAATTCCTGTGTCCAGGTCACGAGTTTCAGTAACTAAACCTGAGCCTCTCTCTTTGATTTTTAATCTTTCCCTTTTTATTTTGGACTAGCCGATAACCTGTCGTTGCCTGGGAATTTATTTATTTATAGGGGAAAAATGTCCAGACCAAATGTCATTTCTAATGTTGGAGTTTCCCCCTTACCAGAGCGGGTGGAGTACTGTGAAGCCGTTACCAGGGCAACTCCACTGCGCTGTACAGTGGAAGCCATTTTATGGCAGTACAGTAGAAGCCGTTTCAAGCCACAACAGGCTGTATCTTAACAGAACACACACACCGAGGGGTGTTGAGGGGTGTCTTTCCTCCACAGTATTTTTTTTTCCAGAGAGTAAGTCATCTGTGTACCAAGTTTGGTTGAAATTGTTTGAGACATTATAGAGTTATGCTGGAAGACACATACACACACACACACACACATATACACACACACACACACACACAGAGCCGTTTTTATATATATAGAAAATTTCAGCCAACAGCCACAAGCTATACCTACCAAGCTGTCAGTGGATTTGCTGGTGACTTCTGCTCCCAGCACAGTTAGAAGGAAGACGCAGGGGACGGCCATGGCTAGGATGGAGCACAGCCTACGAAGAAAATAAAAGAATATATATATATATATATCCAATATTGAGAGTGTTTCCCGCTGCAATTTTACTCACTCTGGATCCCTTAACAGCAAAAGAGAGGCAGAACAGTAAGAAATACAGGTAGCCCTCAACTTACAACAGTTCATTTAACGAAAGTGGGATGCCTCTATGTCGGACATAGCGGCGGGGCAGCGAAAAGCCGCTTTCTTTTTGCATCACCAGCCATAAACCTCACCGCACATCACTGATATCTATATATACCGGTATGTATTATGTCACAACCCCTGATATGCCCAAATATGGGAGGAAGCATACTGCTTCCTTTCTCTGTCTATCGGCTCA